TTATCCTGATTTCACAATTTTGTTCATCAGAAATATCCTGTTTTCAGGATTTTTATAGCACGGCTTTGTGAATCTCTAAAATCTTTATATTACCATACACCTATGCCATGTTGGGGCTTTAAAACTTTTCATGTTTATTTTGTGGATGTTCATTATCCTCCAATCTCAGCCCTGGTGTATGGTGTTATAAATTTGTGTCGATGAAGGACAAATGTCAAGTACATGTATACAGCTATGTATATTTCAATGCATTTTTGAAATGCAGTCTTCCAAAGGCACCTTTTTCAGCGTGTCTCAGTTGAATCGCCTTGCATTTGAGTGGAATGATTACAAAAAAAGCTCAATAGGAAGGGTTAATAGAGGAGTGACTTGGTGTATTTATAGTTATGTAGAAGTCAAACAGTGATCATGAAGACAGAGAGAGTCTGTTGAATGTTACAAAATACTACATGAAAGGAGTTAATTCCCTTGTGTGATACATGATACTGTTGAAAAAAGCACCAGCTAGAAAAACGGATCCACACATACTGCTTGCCTTTCCATTTGCTGTACCTCAAAAACCGTCATTTTCAAGCCCCTGACTAATGTCAGTTTTTCTTTCAATAAAAAGAAAAAAATTCTCGACCTTAATTATCTCTTAATACATTAAGACATAATACGTACATAATATTAATACATTAAATGCTAAATAGGTTTTTCGTCCAGCACTGATGGTTTTGAAGTTTTGTGTGCATACTATTTAACAAGCTGTTTTCTCATCAACTTGCAGCAGTGCACCAAATGCTTTTTATGGTCATGCCCAAAGATTTGTAGCTCGCAAGATGGAGAATTCGAACTTGGCCAAGAGATGCTATCACCATAGGTGCCATTTGAGTGTGAATGTTAATGCATGGATGCAGGCATACCAGGTGTACGTGCCTGTCACGTTGCCTGTGCCTGTTGCATAAGCAAATTGTATTTACACCCAAATGCCGCCCACATGATAACGTTTTACGCGTATTCACGGTGAAGTTCTCCATCTTGCGCCGCTGTGTGGTGCTATACAATCTTTGGTCATACCCTGCCTTCTTAATACTTTCTTTCAACACATGCATTGATCTTGTAGATACATCTGATGATATGCCAGCTTTCGAATTTGTTGTTCCCCTGACCAGCAACGCTGGCATGGGTATTACCATGCCCATCCCAGGCAACACACAGCCCTGGCAGCAGTTTGTCACCCAGGATTTGCGCTATCACATTGTCTTTAAACTGTAAGTAAAAACCTTGATTTTGCCACCTTAATTGGCACTGCATTTAACATGGAAAAAGTGCACCTATTTGATTTCAGTATGTTTTCTTTAACTTTTTGGAATAGAAAATTGCCAAAGCACACATTAATTAAGCATTTTATGCAAACGATTGCTGAAAATTATAGGATGTGGGTATTCAAGAATAATGATTTCTCTCCCTTCCAGAGTTCAAGCAGTATTTCCATCACCTGACCCCAAAGCCATGAAGGACAAGGGAATGGGAAAAGTAGTAGCCTATACGCCCAAAGAATGGAAAAGGACATGTATGAGCAAGCCAGCAGTAGGGTAAGTGATGTACAGTCTTTTGTTGTCTTAGGAATTCATACCTTTTTCTGGATAATCAAACAACCGGAGCTGTGCTGGATATTCAATGTCTGAT